TCAACAAGGAGATTATTTCATCAAAAAAGTTCATCAAGAAATTTCTGTTTTTCAGGCTTGATGGAGAACTTCTTGGTCATCCACCAGCTCAGGTGTAACGGTGTGCTGGAGGGTATCAGAATCTGCAGAAAAGGTTTCCCCAGCAGAATCCTCTATGGTGACTTCAAGCAGAGGTATCAGTGAATATTTCAACAAAGTTTTGATACAGATTATTAAAAGAAAATGCTAACACTGACCATTAACTCTCACATAAAAGGTACAAAGTGCTGAATGCCAGTGTGATCCCTGAGGGTCAGTTCATTGACAACAAGAAAGCTTCAGAGAAGCTGCTTGGGTCAATTGATGTTAATCACGATGAGTACAAATTCGGACACACTAAGGTAAGCACCTTTCTGTCCTTTTTCTTTTTTTTCCTTTTAAAATGAAGAATTCTAAAGTTGTTAATCCGAGCGTATTTGAGGGTTTTTCTGTTAATTATATATTATGTACAAGACATATCTATTAATAATGAAGCATAACGTCTGAAAGCTACTTACTTGACCTTAATGAATTCAGTTCCAAGTGCTCAGATGTTAGAACAGAGGCAAAGCAGCCAGCAAGTCTCCATTCACGAAACCCCTTGTGCCCTAGAGATCTTGAACTGTGTAGGGTAGGTGAAGTAATCACAATCTGAGTTTATCCTGCATTTATTTTAATTTTTTGTTTCTTCAGGTTTTCTTCAAGGCTGGTCTGCTGGGTGTCCTTGAGGAGATGAGAGATGAAAAAATGGCAACTCTGGTCACCATGACTCAGGCTTTGTGCCGTGGTTACGTCATGAGGAAGGAGTTTGTGAAGATGATGGAGAGGAGGCATGTTGAAAACAGATCAATCTGAATGATTGTTTGAAAAATCACAAACAACATTGTCTATAATAGCAACTTCTTATCCGCAGGGAATCCATTTATACCATCCAGTACAATATCCGCTCATTCATGAATGTGAAACACTGGCCATGGATGAAGGTGTACTACA